CCCTTCTGGTTCCCCCATACTCCCATACTGTGGCCCTCATCCTCTTCCCTACACTGGGCCTCATCCCCTCCCCTACACTGGGCCTCACAAATCCCCTTATCTCCTTACCTGAGGAGCCTTGCATCTAGCTCCCTTGGCTTAGGTCCTCACTCCTCTGGAGCTTCGCCCCCAGCCCCACTGAATGGCCTGTGCACTAGAGAAGAAGGACCTCATACAAATTGACTAACAAATACTCTGGAGATAAATTAAATTAAGCTAACTATAATATAGACTCTTGCATGAACTGATCTAAAGGGCTTGTTCCATAAACCCACAAGCAACTGATTTATGTCATGGCTCTAAGGAGCCTGGAGGGATTAATTTGAACTGAGGCACTCTTCCATTTGAATGAACCAGTGAGGTACTGCTGGCAACCAACCAGTCTATGCAAGATCAAGGTGCAGGCAAGTATTGTCTGTTGGGGTATGGTAAGAGTGCAATGCAAGGGGAGGAGGAGCCCCATAAAGAAAACCACCCAGGTGAGCGAGTAAGATTGTCACTGTCTTGTATGAAACTCCCAATAATTAAATAGAGACATCAAGACATGGCAGGTGAGAGAAGACCATCAGAGGCTGCATAGTGACAGGACTATCCAGTTCTTCCCCATGGTTCACCCCAATAAAGTGTCAGGCAAATGGGTACCACAGCCCTACAGCACTTGCACTGCCCCAAACTGAAGTTATGCAGCTACATATGTGCCATTTAGGTGCACAAAATCAAATTGGATTCAGTTCTTTATGTCTCAAAGGTATGTCCTAGTTTTAAGGACTAAGAGGAGAAAGCTGGTATCTTAAGAGTATCTGGGTGAAGATAATGCTAGAAAAGAACAGATGTGATGTTATGGTCAGTGCCTACTCATTAATGATGTGGAGCATGGTACTAAATGTACACTTAGCAAATTTGCAGTTGACACCAAGTTGGGTGGAGTTGCAGACATTCTGGAAGGTAGGGCTAAGGTCTAGAATGACATAAATCAGAGGTTGGCAGCTGTTTAGACTATGGGCTGGAGTGACCCAGTTTGGTTAGAGGTAGGTGGAGAGGTGGGCACTAGAACCTTGTTGATACCACCACTTTTCCACAAAGCGACACAGAGTAACCTCCCACAGCCAGTGTTTCTACCTAGAGTGGCAGGGGAGAGAGATTGCTGCTGGAGTCCCCTGCCACTGTATGCCACAAAACTCCATGTCCATAAGTTGGATCAAATAGCTCATGGGTGAGATCTAGCTTGTAGCCTGTAGGTTGCCAAGCCTTGACTTAGAGAAACTGGAGAAATGGTCTGAAATCAATCAGATGAAATTCAATAAGGACAAATGGAAAGCTGGTATAGAATAAATGCATGCATAAGTACAGGCTAGAGAATGACTGGTGAGGCTGCCAAAGAATTTGGTGGTTAGAATGGACTGTAAGCTGAATATGAGCCAACAGTGTGCAATTGTTGTATAAAAAGGCCAACAGCATACTGTACTGGATTAACAAGAGTGTCACTTAAAAATCATGGGAAGTGATTCAACCATTTTACATAGCAATGGACAGAACTCGTCTGGAGTTCTGTGCCGATTTTTGGACACCACACTTCAAGAAAGATGTTGCTATATTAGAAAGAATTCAGTGGAGAGCAACAAAAATGGTAAGAGGCATGGAAAACTTTACCTATGAGAAAAAGATGAAACAACTAGGATGGTTTAGTTGGAAAAGAGAAGACTAAGGGGGCATTTGATAAGAGTCTTCAATTACCTGAAAGGAAATACTAAAGGAGATGGAGATAGACAGTTCCCTGGGTCTATCTGGACTGGACTATAGACATAAAAATGAAATTCAGCAGAGACAAAGGTAAGGTGCTACACCTAGAGAAAAAAAACACATGCATAAATCCAGAATGGTGGAGACAGGATAACGCACTTGGCAGTAGACAGAAAAGGAGCAGTGTGATTTATAGTGATACACAAAACAGAAAAATGCAAGTTTGTTTGCATTAGTAGAAGCATTGTATGAAAGAAATAGTGGGTAATAGTATTACTCCACTCAGTGACGGATAGGCCTCAGCTGAATTGCTGTGTCTGATTTGTGGCATTATATTTTAAACGGACAGAAAGAAACTGACCACAGGTGATGATGAGCTAAGACAAGTGGCAAAGATGATAAAGCAGTTGGAATGAGAGCCATTTAAGGAAAGGAACATAAAAATTAGATATAGTTTAATTTTCAGACAAAGATATTAAAGTAGAACATGATAGCAGTTTTCTGATATTTAAAAAGCTGTCATAAATGGATGGAGAAAAATGTTTCTCCTATGCCACAGAGGGCAGCACATGAGGCAAGGGTTTTAAAGTACACAAAAGTAGATTTAAATTAAATTTCAAGGGAAAAACTAATGGTGAGGATAGTAAGACAGTGGAACAATTGCATTAGGGAAGTCCTGGAATCTCTTTCACATGAGATTTTCAAGAAGAGTCTGAAGAAGCATCTGGCTTTGGTTTTTAAGGACAACAGATCCTTCAGGACACTGGACCAGATGACCCTTTAGATATTTTTCAGTACTATAATTCTGTGAATCTAAGATGAATTACAGATACCAGGTGTTTTCCAAGTGTACTGTCTGTATTATTCATGTGAAAATAGCTGAAGTGATAACATATTAATTTGCTAATGTCTCATTTAGACATTTTAATATTGACATGTTCTGCACCATTTAGCCCTTGTGGTTTTATCCTAGACACTGGAAAAAATGAGAAGGGACTCAATTCAGTATGGAATTAAATCAGTTATGGAACCAATTTATGTTTCCACAGGAGTTTCCTTCAGGGTGTTTGGCTGATTTTGATACTCCAAACACACGTTTCCACAAAAGTGGCAAGAGCATAGTGGCAAAGCTGGGTGTGGCTGGAGTGAGTATAAAACAGACACAGGATATGCTAAAAATACATCACAGGAGTCATTGCAATGAAAGCTTCCTGCATTATATAGTTAGACAGTTGAACTTTCTCACCAAGTCCTAGCAACAATTTCAGGATTTTATTGAATGCAGTGCATGATACATGATAACTAACAGCTCATCTATACTCACTTTCCTTAACTTTTCTTTTTTCCACAAAGTGTAATAATTCTTCATATACAAAAAATGTATGGTAACAAATTTAAAACCACCTTGGACTATGTAATTATCATTGTGCTGTGCATCTTGCCCACTTGGTAGTTCAAGGCAATAGCAGGAATAAAATATAGATCTTCCTGCTTCAAAAGCACAGTCTCTTACCACCCCTCATTATTGAAAAATTCCCATAAAATGTTGGTAATATGTAGCCCAGGACAAACAGCGAGCAGTTCTGATCCATCGGGTAAAGTACAACGGGACAAAAATACACCAGCAGTTCATTACAGTAATTAATCCATTTCTTGTCCTTCTCTTAATGTTTTTTTAGGGTAACATTTTCAAAAGCTCTTCAGTGATTTAGCAGCTTATATCTCAGTAACCTTCCCTAAATTATTATGCCACTTTTGAAGATATTACTCCAAATATTAAACATTGAGTTACTATTTGAAGACATTGTGTTAGCAGTTGCATCCAGAACAACAGATATATACAGGATGCAGCTTTATACTTTAATACACATTGTGCCAATAGGGTCTGTGTGTCAATATAGCAGTTCTCGATGTATTAAACTGCATATTACACAAAAGCAGTTAAAGAAATTCTGCTCATGTGTGTGCATTGGTCTATCATCTGCCATAGTAATGCCAAAATACTGCATCTGTGAATATTTTATTTGTAATGTCTTTTTAGGTTCTCTTAAGATTACCATTTTATGTCTGTAAAAATATGGTTCAGAACAAAACCTGGCAATTAAAGTCTCATCATAAGTAGCAATTAAGCACAGTTCAAAGGACTACACAGCTACTGGAGGGAGTGAATTAAGAGGTGACCGTTACTCCACTGAAGTTGTGAAGGAAGGGACTTTTTAATTTTGTTTTTTCCCTTGTTTCCCCACATGGTTGCAGTGGGGCCTTAAATCCTTGTCTATGTATAGGTTGCACCTGTTTAACTAAAAGACTGCTTTAAAATGGATTTAATTTAATATGCACCAGTTGTGTAGAAAAACAACTCTTTCTCTTTACCCTTAAACACTGTGAATGAGGAAAGGGGAGGAGATAGATCATTTTATAACTTAAATGCTATGGGTCTCTCTAGAGAAGTCAGCTGTGAGTGCAGCTCTTGGACAGAATGTGGAGTGCTGAATGCAGCAATATGTTAATATTTTATTTCTGGAGTGCAAACAATGTGCTCAGCATCCTGCAATATGCTTAAATAAGTATAGAGCCAGCACTACTGAGCCTAGTGTAAGACAAGGATCAAAAAGCCCAGAATGTGTGGTGGAAAAGCCTGAGGTTGAGGCAAGTTAGTAGGGTTGCCTTTTTGGTTTGGGTGCATGAGACAGTACAGAAGAAACAGTGAAGGTGGTGATTCACAAAAGGTTGTCAAATACATCCAGTTCATAACCTGCACAGGTAGAGAAAGAAATGTGTTTTATCTAGTCTTGGGAAGTTATTCTAACAATAATTTTGAACAGAAGCTTGCTGTTTTTTTCTAAGTTGACCATGTTCCTTGCTATCCAACCCAGTTTAGGGGAATTCTTAGGTAACCTGATATACCATAAGTTTTTTTTACTATTACTCTGTAAAATGTTATGGGGGAGCTGTATGCTGTGCTTTTCATTTATGAACAGCTTTCATGAATTGCTTGCCTGGCTGCATGGAATAGCTACTGCTCAGTCCCATAGTCTGTAACTTAGGTGTTCTGGGAAGAGGAAGAAGAAAAAGGAGAAGTTTCAGCATCAGAGTTTCCTTTCCCTGTTCCTCCCTGTTCCCCTGTAAAAAAAATATTGTATCAAGTTCTACTCCTTCCTCCCCTTCCTTCCTCTGCTCAATCAGAGGCTAGGTAGAGACTGAGGTGGAATAGATCTAAGCTACAAGTTTTTCTGTAAGTGGCATAGTTTAGATCAGCAGTGAACAGAACACACATTCATCTTTTGGGGGTGTGGAGGGGCTGGGAATCTTAGACCAGGTTCTGCCCTTTTTAAACCACTCTGTGGGCACATCTACACATGTGCTTTAATGTGCATTAGCCTATTTTAATGCACATTAAAGAATCAGTAAAAAAACTATGGGCACCTATATACGTGATGGACTTCTGCTCCATTGCATGCTAATTAGCACATTCTGGAGCAGCCTTGATTAACTCAGTCTGCTGAGAGTCTGCTGGAGTGTGCTAATTAGCACACTTCAGTAGCCTCCATGTCATGTGTACCAGTGTCCTCGCATTTCAAAATGGTGGCAGGAGTGCTTTAACTAAAGCTTTTTAAATGAGTTTTAGTTAAAGTGCCCTTTCTGCCATTTTGAAGTGAAGGACATTGAATACATGTGACATTGAAGGCACTTTAATTAGAGTGCCTCTGAGAACCGCTTTACTTAAAACAATTTCAGGTTGCTGCAGTTTTTGTTTTCCTGTGTGCAACAGTAGTAAGTTGCTTGCCTTTTTTTCATAAAGGGGAATATTCAGCATCACCCCTCTGCTTACCCTTCCCAACTGGAGAAACACCGTCATTAGGGTTTACAGTAACTTTAGTGCTTCTAAACTCATTAGCATTTTTGCTAATGGCTATTATCTACATTAAACTGTATTGCAACTTAGAAAAAGAGGACCTCACAGAAAATTCACAATCTAGCATGATTAAGCATGTTGCTTGGCTAATCTTCACCAACTGCATCTTTTTCTGCCCTGTTGCATTTTTCTCATTTGCACCATTGATCACTGCAATCTATTAGTCCTGAAATAATGAAGTCTGTTACTCTAATATTTTTCCCATTACCTGCTTGTCTGAATCCAGTCCTGTATGTTTTCTTCAATCCAAAGTTCAAGGAAGACTGGAAGTTACTTAGGCACCACATGACAAAGAAGAATGGTGCAGTAGCAATTGCAGTCAATACTCAAGGTGGCTGTGTGACACAGGATTTCTACTGTGACTGTGGCATGTATACACATTTGTAGGATAACCTTGCCATGTGTGAATGTTGTGAATCACTTGTTTTATCCAAGCCTGTGCCATTTAAACACTTAATAAAATCACACAGTTGCCTTACACTGGCAGTGGTACTGTGGCAAAGGACAGATGGCTATTGGTCAGACTGTGGCACCCAGAAATTTTAAAAATTAAAAAAAAAAAAGAAAAAAAATGCAGGCTGGACTCGATGATCTTCCAAGGTCCCTTCCAGCCCTGATGTCTATGAAAGCATCCCTCCCCCTCACCCCCTCTTCACCCCAGAGCATGTGTACAGACATCTCATGCTATTTATTTAATGAGAATTAAAATAAGTTAAAGCTCATTAAGTATCTCTTAAAACTGTTTAGTTAATGTGCATTAAGACAGGCTAATGCACATTTTTCTAGTGCCTCACAGTGGAGGTATTAGATTTAATGCATATTCATTAAAGCATGTTAATACATGTATAGACATGTCCCAGGTTGTGTGCACCAAACTTCTGTTTTCTTATGGTTATAGACCTGTTTCTGATCACTTATACCAGTAAATGTATAATGTCTGTACCTGACCCTAGTTGTCAAAGCCCATGGCCTCAGCCCTATGTGACTGTTTCAGATTTTCTTGCAGGTTCATCACCAGTCCACTCACCACCACCAGTGCCTCTTTGTCCTTTTCTGCCTCACAGGCTTGCCTTTTTCCTCCCCTCTAGCTAGTGATCTTATTTCCTTTTTTTTCTCAGATGTTTGTTCACCCTTAATATTAGGGAGCTTCATAGATCTGTCTAATCATAGTAAGACCTCACCTGCCTCTGGCCTGCAAGCATTTCCCTGGTTTCCATTTGCAGGCAGTGGTGACCGAGTCCCCGTTCTACTGTTCAAGTGGGTCTCTGTTCTTTATTGCTGGTGGAAGCTGGTCTGCAGCTCAGAAATGTAGGCCCTACATATCTTAGCTGCTCAAACCGAGAATGTAGTCAGGAATACAGGTGACAATGTATATTGTACAGAATAACCACAGTAAGGGTCGAAGGGGCATTGTGCAGCTCTGCTGAAAAGATCACTTAGCAACTTACAGCTGCAGTGCCAGCAATTCCTGTGTATGCTAGCATGAAGTGGTGGTGATTGGTCACATGTAAGATGCATTTTTGGTGGCACTACATTTCTTGGCCTAAGCAGATGAGGCTGGAAATGCTTCTGCATCATTGCAAGAACTTTAGAATATTATATGTGAAGTGTGTTATATGTGTAACACTTGTTTGCAAAACTTGCTGAAGAAAAAAAACCGGAGAGGAGGGTTGTTCTTTACTTTTGTTTTTAGCTTATGAAATTAGGAATGACTGTATTTAGTGAAAAAAACGCTATGTCAGTGTTGCCAGTATTCAAAGTCTTATCACATCTTACAACCTTTGTTGTTTTTCTTAAAACTCCAGCTCTTGCCTTGAAGCAAATACCAAAGAAACCCTTCTTTCATTAAAAAAAAGTTTCTTATCTTTCTGCTTGACAAACAAATACTTGAACATATGAACTTAGTATTTTAAAAGTGCCAAAAGGGAAATTATCTCCACCAAATTGTTTTTAAACTAATTATTTATATCCTAATTTCATGATTTTTTAATGATTCCATTTGGCAACACTGACCACATGTATGGTTAAAAGAAACACCATTAAAGTTAAGCTTAATTCTTTCAGAAGAAAAAAAAAAGGTCTTGCAGATTTGTAACAGAAATCCTTCTCTCCAGAGTTTCATAGGATCATAGAAAACAGAGCTGGAAGGGGTTTCATTTAGTCCCACCTGCTGCTCAAGGCAGGATTATCTCTGTCTAAACCTTCCTAAACAAGTATTTGTCTAACTTGCTCTTCAAAACTTCCAGGGATGGAGATTCTACAACCTGTCTATGTAGCCTCCTCCAATGTTCAATACTTAAACACTCTCATAGTTAAAAAAATCTTGCCAATATCTTCCTTTTCTTAAAGGTGGCCACTATATTTGCCCTCTTCCAGTCATCTACCTGACCTCCACAAGTTCTCAAAGAAAATAGCCAGTGGCTCTGAAGTTACCTCAACCAATTCCTTGAGTACTGTAGGATGCAACCCATCTGCTTATGCTAACTTGAAAACATCCTTGAAAACGTTTCTGCACTACCTACTAATCATTTTGATAATATGTACAGTATGCTACTTAACCAAGCAGCACTTAATTTCAGCACTCTCCCACAATGTAGATAACTTACAAATAGCTCCTGATTAGCTGCATCAGTATTATTTATTTCAATATTCTAGATATATTTTTGATAATGAGTTGTAATTAATTTTTTGTTTCACAGAACCTAATATAATGAGCTAGTGTAGAGTGTCTGTTAGTAGAAACCTTTCATTTATTTGGTGGTCATGCTGTGAGTAAATCCATGATCTGTCAGCACTGTTTGATTTTTCGAAACAGAGCATAATGATTTGAGTCTTAATGGAGTGCTTCTCAAGATGCTTCAAAACATCACTGGGAAGATTCTTACTGAACTTGTAGTTTTGTATATGAAGAGCTTCACAGAAGGGATCGGGTAGGGAACAGAAGTGGGGATGTTGCCCTCTATGTGAAAGAACAGTACACTTCCCTACAGGCTAATGTTGGCCCCAAAGAAGAACAACTTAAAACCCTCTGGGTAAAGCTCCATGGGAGTCGTGGTGAGAGAGACCTGACTGTAGGTGTATAATAGAGGTTGCCTAAGCAAGGGGAGGAACTTGATTTAGCATTCGCCCATGAACTAATGGAGGTCGTGCGTGCATGGGACATAGTTGTCACGGATGACTTCAACTACCTAGCCATCTCCTGGGAGGAGTGCTTGGCCAGCTCAGATCAATCACAATCCTTACTGACCAGCACCAAAGACCTTTTTTTGACTCAGGAGGTGCACAGGCCAACTAGAGGCAATGCAGCTCTTGACCTGGTCCTGGCCAAAGGGGATGACCTGGTGACCAACTTAAACATAGAGGGCAGCCTAGATAATAGTGACCATGAAATCATTATGTTCACAGTTTGTCACAAGGCTGACAAAACAGATACCAAGCTCGAAGCCTTAGACTTCGAAAATACAAATTTTAATAAGCTTAGGTCACTAGTAGAGAATGCCCTGAGAGACAACCAAGGACCACAGATAAAAGGAACATGAGAAGAATGGTCGTTCCTTAAGGGTACAATCTTTAAGGCTCAAAGAAAATCCATTCCCATATGGAGAAAAAGTAGCAGAAGGGTCAAAAAACCCTCTTGGTTAAGCAGGGAAGTTGCAGCCCTCCAAGAGAAAAAGAAAGAGGCATACAAACAATGGAAGCTTCGGACAAACTCTAAGGAAGACTACTTGACAATGGCCTGCACTTGTAGAAAACAGATTACGCAAGCTAAGGCAAAAACAGAACTAAAACTAGCTACAAGAATCAAGGACAACAAGAAGTCCTTCTTTAGCTACAAAGGGAGTAAAAGGAAAACTAATGGCAGTGTGGGGCCACTGCTCAATGCCTCAGGATACCTGGTCACTACCACTCAGGAAAAAACAGAACTCCTAAATGACTACTTTGCCTCGGTCTTTCACAAGACCAAGGGGAACAACATGCCAGGTAGGGCACAGAATGAGCAGAGCGGGATTGACACCATTGCCATAGAACTGGTATATGATCAATTAAAGAAATTAGATGTATATAAATCAGCAGGACTGAATGAATTCTACCCAAGAGTGCTGCAAGAGTTGGCCAAAGTAATTGCAGAGCTCCTGGCAAAGGTCTTTCAAAAATCATGGGCCTCTGGAGAAATCCCAGAGGACTAGAAGAGGGCCAATGTTGTGCCCATCTTCAAGAAGGGGAAGCATGAAGACCCAGAACACTACAGGCCAATTAGCTTAACTTCTATTCCAGAGAAAATCCTAGAAACATTCATCAAAGCAGCTATATGTGATAAACTTGCAGAAGGCATGATACTGAATGACAGCCAGCATGGCTTCATCAGGGCAGGTCTTGTCTGACCCACCTAATTTCTTTCTACGATCAGGTGACTCGTCACCTGGACAAAAGTGGTTGACATCATATACCTGGACTTCCAGAAATCCTTTAACCTGGTATCCCACGAGGTACTGATCAGAAAACTGGAAGATATAGGCTCAACGGCGGGACCGTCAAGTGGGGGCGAAACTGGTTGCAGGGTAGGACATAGAGAGTTCAGATGAATGGATTGGTGTTGTTCTGGTGAGATGCGGGCGGTGGCATACCCCAGGGGGTGGTACTTGGCCCAGTGCTGTTCAATATCTTCATCAATGACCTGGATGATGGGGTGAAAAGCCCATTGGCCAAGTTGGCAGATGACACCAAGATATGGAGTTGTGTGGACACACCTGCAGATAGGCTGCAGATATAAGCAGACCTAGACAGGCTGGCATGTTGGGCAGAACAGAACCAGATGAGGGTCAATGTACAGAAATGCCAAGTGCTGCATCTGGGAAGGAAACCCGCCTAGCACACCTACAGGCTGGGCATCGCTAACCTGACCAGCACTACAAATGAAAGGGATCTGGGGGTATCAATAGATTCCAGCATAAATATGAGCTGGCAATGCGACAAAATAGCTGCTAGGGCCAATAAAACTCAATCAATGCATCCATTCAGTAAATCCAAAGAAGTGTTTCTCCCAATTTACTTAACATTGGTCTTGCTGCAGCTGAAGTATTGTGTCCAGTTCTGGGCACTGCACTTCAACAAAGACATGCTAAAGCTTGAGAGGGTCCAGAGAAGGGCCCCCCATATGATCAGGGACTTGCATGGCAAGCCATATCAGGAGAGGCTGAGGTTTCTTGGACTTTTCAGCCTAAAGAAAAGAAGGCTGAGAGGGGACCTGGTTGCGGATTACCGCTATATCAGAGACATACATCAGGGGCTTGGTGAATAACTGTTCACTAGGGCACCCTGGGGAAACACTAGAAACAATGGCCACAAAGTCCTGGAAGATAACTTCAGGCTGAACATTAGGAAAAACTTCTTTACAACTAGGGTGTCCAGACTATGGAACAAGCTCCCCCCAGAGGTGGTGCAATTATCTACCCTAGAGGTCTTCAAGAGAAGACTGGATGGTCACTTGGCCGGGGTCATCTGACCCCAGATGTCTTTCCTGCTCATGCAGGGGGTTGGACCTCAGGGTCCCTTCTAGCCCTATGATTCTATGAGCAAAAACCCTTTGCCTTGAAGAAAGGAGGCATTTCTTGACCTTGCTGATTACTAGACCTGAACTCCTCTTGGGACCCAATGACTCTTAATTACAATGAGAAACAAAAGTTACATGTGATAGAAAAAGCCTAGTTATGTATAGTGTATTGCCCACTACAGAAAAAAATCCCTGTAATGATTTCCACTTTTTGTCATTATCTTAGTTATCCTTAATATCTTACTATTTAAGTGATATTGAAAGCTCTTGTAAAGTGTGATCAATTTCTCCACTTCCTAATCAAATTCACTTAACGTTCAATGTTTGCAATAACTATATAGAGAGCAAATCCAGATAAAAAAGAAATTGAAGTAGCAAATTTCTGTCACTGTTCCTCTGATCTAAATCACTAGCTATATACACATTTACTTTCTACAAAGAGCGGTCCACAATTATTAGGATTATGTATATGTTTATTCAATTGGGCCAGAAGTTTACTGTAAGATTCTATGATTTGCACTGCCCTACATCATAGCTTCAAATGTGTAATAACTTCAGAGATGGATCTACAGAATTACGCTGCACCTTATTTTCACTATTCTAGGTCTTGGGCATGTCTACATGTGCATTAATGTTTGTAGCTATGTTGGTCTAAGGACATAGGCAGGCAAGGTTTTTTGAGTAGATGTGATATCTTTTATTAGACCAGCTGAATAATTGGAAAAAAGTTCTTAGCAAGCTTTTGGGCACAATCACTATTGCTACTGTAAGTTTAGTACCTCTAATAAGCATAGTAGTCAGCACTACTGTGCAGCAGCACTGATGCATAGTCATTGTGTGATGCTTAATGTTCTGTAGACTAAATTCAACTGAGCATTAGCATAGCTTTTGCCATGATGCACTAATGTGCAGTATAAGTGGTCTACTGTGCATTAAGCATCTCATGTAGACGTGCCCCTCCTGTTCTTTTTTCTTACTCTGGTCTTTTTTTTTTTCCTCCTTTCCAACAGCTATTTTTCCCCTCCTTACTTTTTTATTTTTAATACTTTTGGTTCTTTCCCTTGTTTTACCTCCCACTGCTAGTGGTGCCTCCTTTTCAATCCTTGACTTAAGATAGGCTGCAAGCTTCTATTTACTCAGTTGGTCTAATAAAAGATATCACATCTACTCAAAGCTGTACCCCAGGGGTTACTTAGGTCATAGGGGGTACGCATGGGTTGGCAGGGATGGAATGTGCCCAGGGTAGGGACATGCTGGGTACTTCCAGCCCCACGCAGCA